CTGTTGATAATACTTCAACTTCTACACCGCTTACTGCTGATTATGATATTTTTGAAGAAAATTTTGAAGAAATAGCACAGAACTTCTTTATGATATATATGATATTGAAGAACTTATTAATATTAAATTTAAAGATAGTGAAAAAAATGCTGATCCAGTTAAATTCTTTATAATAGTAAAACTTGAAAGAGAATTAGTTAATAAAGAAATGATACTTCCAGAGGTTGATCAATATGAAGATACAGAATTTCATGAAATTGTCAACACATTACTCTTACCTCTTCAAAAAAGCTCAGGATATTATTAGGAACTTAGTAATTTATATCTAAACAAGAAAAATAATCAGCTTACAAGATACACAACAGCTTATTTGAGTGTACTCAAAGGATCGATCATCAACATAAATGTCAAGATAACCAGCCTGTAAAGTAAATTAAAAAAGTGCTTGTTATTGAACATTATCTATATAATAGTAGTATAGTAATTAAGATTAATTTGTTCAAACAGAAGGCCAAGATAACTAGCATCTAATAGCCCATGAACATTTTACATATAAGGAAACAAATTTGTCTAAAGATGCTATAAAATGGATGTATCAACATCTAAATCCAAAATTGCAAAAAATTAAAACTTATCAACAACTTTGTAATGAAAATTTAATTAACCTATCATTATATACTTATCGACAAGTATATTATTGAATACATAAATTTTTAACTAAGTAGTATATTACTGATATGGAAAATTAATTAAAATCTTCATTAAATTTTCTAGAACAGATTGAGTTAGTAAATGCAGTGTATAAAGTTATTTGCTATCAAGAAAATGATTTCTTACGTCTACTCAGATTTGTTACTCTATTTCTTCAGATTATAAAAACAATAATATTAGCGAAGTTGTTAGGGTAGTGACAGATATTACATAATATCCTAGAGAAGGTACCTGGAGATGATATTATATATATATAATTATATATATATATTTTATATATGATCATATATAATATAGGGAGAGAGGGTAGCGTCTTTGATAAAATAATATTATGTAATATATATCACAGCCTTTATTGACTCAACATTTAAAACAAACCAAAAGCAGTTTGAACTCTTTACTGTAAATATAAATTGTGGTGGGTATGGTATGTCTTTTGCATATTTATACTTAGACATATATGTAGTATCAGAAGAATAGCATTCGAATCTTAGCAATATTGTCTATACTCATGTTGGTACTTTTAAGAAATTTTTTATTAGCTTGTGTAATGAAAGTATTTAACCAGTATTTGTTCTTCTTAACAAAAATTCTGAAAAAATTAATACTGTTTGAGAAGCTTGGCCTCAAACAATAATTTAGCTTTGTCTTTGGCATGTGAAACATGCAATTGAATATAAGCTAAAAGAAAAAAAAACTAGGAAAAGTTAGTATATACTACAAAAATTATATGAAACAAGTCTTGAATTTGATTTTATTAATATTTCAAATGCTTTCAAATCTAAGACTAACTTGGCTTTTCTACTTTCAATAACTATATAACGTTCAGAAATAAGTATAATTGCACTATGGCTACTTGATACTTCTGACTCAGTTCTAAATTCTAAAATATTATCCTATAAAGCATTATTCTACAGATTATTATTTAAGTTAATTCTTGAAAGGTTTCTACTTGTCTAAAGGCAATAAATAGATAATCATGGTGACGAATTGTAAAATGAAACTTTAGAAAAAAGGATGAGTTTTCTATAGAATATTTTTGTATCAAATATTTGCATATAAAGTAGATGCTAAAAAGAAAAGCAGAATAAAAGCAAATCTAATTTATTTATATCAGTATAATAATGATCAGTTGTATTTATATTTTTTTCTATATTAGATTTCTACTCATGCTTGAATGTATCTTATCATAATAAGAATTCTTGATCATACCAAAATCTTTGCCAAATATTTTTTATATTTAGAACTAATTCTTTGATAAGAATTTGTATAAGATGGTCCAGACGTGACTAATTACAATTATATTTATAATTATATTTAAGAACACACCAATGTGATTCTGTAATCATTATCATTCTAGCAATTAACATCACTTTTAGATAAGCTGCTTATACAAATAGACTCCAATCTTTTAAGTTATACCAATTTATCTACAAATATCCTTATAAGCTACTAAGATTTTTTGAAAACAGAATTGATAAATTTCTAAAACACTCTAAGATCTAATTTTTTTTTTGTAAAGAGAGGGTCTTCTTCTGTAGGAATAAGCAGATGCAATAGTACATATTTTTTGATCATTACTAATAATTTTTTTT